GCTGGATGAACACAGCAGGCCAAGCAGCATCAGAGGAGCAGGAAGGCTAACGTTTCGGGCCTAGACCCTTCTTCAGAAATTTCTGAACAACCTTTCTGTGTCTACTCTCAAGCTCCTGAAGAATCTTATGTTTCAATTCATTCTCCTCTCATTCTTCCAAATTCAATGACTTCTAGGCCAACCTACTCAATTTCTCCTCATAAGAAAATCTCTCCATACCCAGGATCAACCTAGTGATGATTTTGGAACAATGGGTGCATTGTTGCCATCTGCCAATACTCCATCTAGCTATAACAACAAGCAACCACCCAGTGACTATCTAGCAGTCCTTAGTTGGCAGAATATTCATTGCCTGGGACTTTAATTGTGGGCAACTAGGGATGGACAATAAATGCTGGCCAGCCAATGATGCCCACATCCCACAATAAAAAAAAAACTTTCTCTGGATTCTCTCCAATGCCAGTGAATCTTTCCTTATATAAGGGAATCAAATCTGTTCGGAGTCTTCCACGAGTTTCTGACTAGAGCCTTGTCTAGTTTTAGCAAGGGTTTCCTATTTTTATACTCTATTCTCTTTGAAATCAAGGTCAATGTTCTATTTACCCAATGACCTTGGATTTCAGTTTTTTGTAATTCATGTACGAGGACTCCAAATCCCTCTTTGCTGCAGCTTTCTGCAGTCTTTCCATATTTAAATAATATTCAGCTCCTCTATTCTTCCAGCTAAAATGCATGAACTCACATTTTCCCACATCGTATTTCAACTGTCAAATTTTGCTCATTCACTTAACATGTCTCTATTCTTCTGAAGACTCCTTAGGTTATCCTCACCATTTGCTTTCCCACCTATTTTTGTGTCATTCACAAACTTGGCTATAATACATTCACTTCCATTATCCAAGTCATTGATACATCTTGTGAATAATTGTAGCCCGAGCACTGATCCCTCTGCCACTCCCTAACTTTCTGTCTTTTATTAGTTAGCCAATTCTCAATCCATGCTTATGTACTACCACCAATAACATGGGCTCATCTTATTACGTAGCAAAATGTGTGGTACCTTATTGAATGTCTTTTGGGATCCAAATATCCATCAACTGGTGTCTCTTTATCTATTTGCTTGTTACCTCCTCAAAGATTTATCCGGTTTGGTTCCCTTTCATAAAGCCATATTGACTCTACTTCTTTATTTTATGTATTTATAAATGCTCTGTTATTACATCCTTTATAAAAGACTCTAATATTTTCCCAATGACAGATATTAAGCTAACTGGCCTATAGTTACTTGTTCTTTGTCTCCCTCCATTTTTGAATAAAGGTGTTATATTCACAGTTTTCCAATCCACTGGGACTTTTTCAGAATCTAAGCATTCTTGGAAGATTGCTACCAGTGCATCCACTATCTCTGTAGCTACTTCCTATCAGGGCCAGGGGACCTATTGGCCTTGTGGCTTATTATTTTCTCTGGTACTTTTTTCTCTGGTTATAGTTATTATGTTTATTTGACCTCCAAACCCCACTCCTCCCCATGCCCCATAACTTTTGCTGCTTGATTATTTAGTATTTTTGAAATATAATTCACACCCTCTACTGTGAAGATCGATGAAAAATATTTGTACAACTCTTCTGCAATTTCGTGGCTCCATATCATTATTTTCCCACTCTAATTTCCTAAGGGCTTTATATTCACTATTGTATCTTGCTTCCATTTCATCTATTTAAAGAAGGTCTTACTGTCTGTTTACATGTTTCTTGCTAGCTTTCTCTCATAGTTCAATTTCTCCCTTTTATTTTAGTAGTTATATCTGTTGGCTTTTAAAACTTTCTCAATCGTCTGATTTACACTAATCATTGCCACATTATGTATTTTTTATTCCAATTTGATACTGCCCTTAAATTCCCTGTTTAGCCATGGTTGGTTATCCTCTTCTTTGAATCCTTCTTCTGCACTGAGATATGTCATTGCTAGGTGTCATGAATTATTTTTCAACGTCTAACATTGTTCATCAAACTTTTTTTCTGCTAAACTCCTTTCCTTGTCTACTCCAGTCAACTTTGTCTTCATTCCTACGATAATCACCTTCCTTTAAGTTTAGCACAATTGTTTTTGGCCCAAGTTTCTCACTCTTAAATTCAATTCTAAATTCAATCATGTTATGATCAATGTTCACTCTGAGATCTTTTATTCTGTGATCATTTATTAAACATACCTCATTATGCATTACCAGATCCTAAACAGTCTGATCCCTGGTTGGATCCACAACATGTTGTTCTAAGAAATAATCGTACAGTCATAGAGTCATACAGAACAGAAACAGATCCTTTGGTCCAACCACTCCATGCCGACCATAATCTCAAACAAAACTAGTCCCATCTAATATATCCCTCCTAACATTTCTTATTCATGTACTTATCCAAATGTCTTTTAAATGTTGTAACTGTGCCTGCATCCACCACTTCCTCTGGAAGTTCATTCCATACACAAACCACTCTCTGTGTAATTCCACACAAACCACTCTCCTGAAGGCACTCAATGAATTCTTCCTTGTGGCTACCTCTGCCAATTTGATCTACCTGATTTAAAGTCACCCATGATTAATGTATTGTCTTTTTTACATTACCTCATTATCTCCTGATTTATTCTCTGTCCTACAGAGCAGCCAGTGTTTGGGGGCCGATAGACTACTCCCACAAGTGTCTTCTTCCATTTGTTATTTCTTACTTCCACCCATACATATTCTGCATCCTCCAATACAAGATAATTTCTTGCTAGTGTACTATTTCCATCTTGTAATTACAAAACCACCCCACCACCTTTCCCTTCCAGTCTGTCCTTTCAGAAGGTCACATATCCCTGCATATTAGTTCCCAGCTTCGATCTCCTGGCAACCATGTCTCTGTAATCACTATAAGATCATAATATGCTCCTCTACTTGTGATGTTATTTTATTTATTTCGTTCAATATACTACATGAATTCAAGTAAACAGCCATTAATTTTGCCTTTTTTATCCTTTTGTATCCCTTTTGTCCCTGTTTGCTGCTTTTTTGTAATGCTTGTATTCTTTGTCCCTTCTTGTCCCACTTTGGGTATCATCGTCAAAATATTTACCCTACAATGTTGCCAAATGTTTTTGCAAGCTTACATTACCCCACTCCTGAATCCTGTCCCCTTCACATTAGTTTAAAAGCCCAGTCTACAGCCCTAGTTATTCAATTTGCTAGAACACTGGTCTCAGCATGATTCAAGTGAAGCCCATCCTACCAGAACAACTCCCTTCTACTGATGCCAGTTACCAAGAACTGAAACTCATTCCTCCACACCAATCTTTAAAACATATACAGCAAACCGTTACTTAACCAACATCTATGGGACCTGTGGAAGGATCATTAGGGCGGCACCGTGGCTCAATGGTTAGCACTGGAACCCTGGTTCGATTCCAACCTCGGGCGACTGTCTGTGTGGAGTTTGCACATTCTCCCCGTGTCTGCATGGGTTTCCTCTGGGTGCTCTGGTTTCCTCCCATAGTCCAAAGATTGGCAGGGTAGGTGGATTGGCCATGCTAAATTGCCCCTAGTGCCCAGGGATGTTTAGGTTAGGTGGGTTAGACATGGGAAATTAGGGGAATGGGTCTGGGTGGGATGCTCTTCGGAGGGGTGATGTAGACCTGTTGGGCCAAATGGCCTGTTTCCACACTGTAGGGATTCTATGATATGAAGTGTGCCAGTTGATCATGAAGTCCACATAATCCACAAAAACACACACTAAGTAATATGGGGGTATACATATCACTGTTATACTTTATTTACAGCATAAATCACTTAAATAATAATACAGCTTTGCCTTAAATAAAACTTTCAGGCAAAGTATCTTATCACTTGCACCTTTCCGGTATATCATTTTTTTCTGGTTTATTGAAAGTGCTGGTTCATAAGGTGCCTGTTAAAACCATGTTTGCTGTATTCAACGTTTTTCCTTATTTTACTTAATTCCTTGACTTTATTTACCCCATGCCAATTTGTCCATGGCTCAGGCAGCCATCTTGAAATTATCACCTTGGAGGTCTACAGTTTAATTTAGCTCTTAATTGTTCAAAATCATTCATCAGAACATCCTTTCCAGTCCTATCAATATCATCAGTACCAATGTGGATGAAAACAACTGGATCCTTTCCCTCTGCTTCAAGATCCTCTCCAGTCCCGAGGAGAAGTCCTTAACCGTGGCACCGGGCAGTCAACGCAGCATTCAGGACTCATGTTCATGCCTGCAGAAAACAGCATCTATCGCACCAACCATACTGTCCCCTACCACTACTACATTCCTATTTCCTCCTTCCACTTGAATGGCTCCCTGTACCTCAGAATTATGGTCAGCTCACTCATCCTTCTTGCAATCTGCATTCTCATCCACGAAGCTTGAAACTGTTGGACAATTAAAGGGACTATGGCTCCCTGAGAGCTATTCCTTATGGGACCCCATAACTCTCATCTACAATTACACCTTCCTGTCCTTAATCACAGATCAAGACTAAATTACCTCACTTAAGGAGTGTGACTGTCTCCCAGAACAAAGTGTTAAGGTAACTTTCTGCCTCCCTGATGTTGCACAATGTCTGCAGATCAGACTGCAGATCCTCGACTTGGATTCAAAGTTGCTCGAGCTGCACATATGTGTTCACTGTGGATCACCTTGGTATCCAGCAGCTTCCACATGATGCAATGGATGAGTTGTTAAACTGAATGCCTTCTGAGGTGAATGTAAAAGATCACAGCACTACTTTGACGAGGAGGTGAGACATACCTGGTGTCCTGAGAATTATTTGTCAACATCACAAAAGTAGATTGTCTGGTCATTTATCAAATTGCCGTTTGTGGATGTTTGCTCTCAGTGCATTGGCTGCAGTGTTTCTTACATTACAACAGTAACTACACTTCAAAAAGTATTTCATTGACCATGAAGCACTTTGAGATATTTGATAGTGGAAACAAGAATGTCTGTACTTCTTGTTTCTTAGCTTTCACCACAGACATATTTCGTCTCAGTTGATACAAAAGCGAAATTTTTCAGTGTCTTGGGAACTTTGATAGGCAGATTGAGAAAATCAAGGAGATTCGTTGAGGTGTTCAAAATCATGAGTGGTGAATGGGATTAGATAGGGAAGCTGTTCTAATTGGTGAATGAGTTGAGATCCAGGAACAACAATTTAAGGTGACTGGCAAAAGAAGCAATGATGACTTCAGGAAAAAAGATTTTATGCAGCGAGTGGTTAGGATCTGAAATGTACTGAAGAGCCATGTAGAGGCAGGTACAATCCAGGCTTTCGAAAGGGAATTGGATAGTCACTTCAAAAGGAAAGGCTGGGGGAGTGCGATTAGCTAGCAGAGTTGGCCCTGCAGACAGCCAGAATGGAGATGAGAGGCCCAACTGTCTCATGCTATGCTATGACCATTGTAAGATTTTTTAAGAATCACATTTCTGCAACTATGGTGTAATACAATGTCACTTAAACTTAAAATAGAAACCAATGGTGGACAGAAATGAATATGGGAAGTGTTTTCAAAGCACATGAAGAAGAACAAAGAAAACTCTATGCATTTGAATGCTTTAAATCATAAGAACAGAGGAACAGGAGTAGGCCATTCAGTCTCTCAAGCCTGTTCCACTGTTCAATGAGATCATGTCTGATCTGTAGCCTGAATCATGTCGATTTTAGCTTGGTAGCAAACCCAATCTCATAAAAAAACAATGTAATTAAGGATTTATTATAAATCTGAGGTGTTGCTGAATGTCATTAAAAATAAACCAGATCAAGCAGGCCTTAATTACATTAATTTCATTTCTCTTTCTATCTTTCTGTTTGCAATTATCATATGACAATTTTATGAGCCTCAAATTCTACAGGATCTATGGTGTTACTCTACGTTACATGTGGAAATTACATAATACAATATTGACTTCAGTTCTAAGACATATATTTACTCTTCAGGATAAAAAAGGTAGTCACTGTGATTTAATTAGAGGGTTTATCTTCCATCTCATGCAAAACCTTGTCTCTCACCTGTTGGTTACTGATTTTTAGCTCATGTTGCAGGTTCAGCATAGCCTGCTCCTGTTGACTCATTTTCTTATCATGTTCTTTGCAAGCATCACGTAAGCCCTGTATTTCAGTCAGTAGACTGTTTATCTCTGTCTTCAAATTAACCACTTCTGCTTTCTGGAGTGTGAGCTGTAGATCAGAAAGAAATGGGAATTATTAAATATTGTTTGTAAGTGAGATTTACTGCTTCTATCTGTTCCTCTCTTTCGCACATCCTGGCAGACTGTCTTGTGCATGAAATTCAGGGATATCTTTTAGGAGAACCTCACATTCTAAATCTACAATGGCTTCCTATATACCTTTCCTCCACCAAACCCATATCTATGGCATTTGCCGTGTATCCAGACAGCATGCTGATTAGTTATCCTTTAAATTACTAACTTAATTTTATCTTGAAATTAAATAGACTGCTACATAATCATTTACAAAACATGACATTCTCGACACTATTCCTGGGACCTAAGAGACTAAGGTGTAGATTTTCATTCCTGGGTCATGTGCACAGAGGCAGGAGAAATCCTAGCTTCATAAACAGGCCATTAAATATGGCAGTATGCACTTCCCATTTTTTTAGTACAGAGACTCAGCCTTGATTGCGAATTGTGCCAGGAGCATGGAGGTTGTTAGCTCCTGAAGTGGTCCAGACAAAAAGTCTTCTGTGGCTCTGCAGCAGAAATGGAGGCCAAAATTAACGTGCAATGTAAAACATTACTCTAGCCTTCACACCCCTCATTTTCTTTATTCCCCCTCAACCCCACACATTCCTCATTCTCTATCCGTGTCCAACCACTGCCATCTAATGCTCTCCGCCCATCCACATGGCTCCTCATATCCCCCATGCAGGCATACGCCCCTCTACCCATTTGACTGGGTTCTCACACCTAACGCTATCCTATGCTCCTCTATCCATCTACAATGGTTTTTCATACTTCCATTGCCAACTTAGTGCTTACTTCCACCCAACACCCTTTCCCCAATTGCCAACCATGCCACTTGTCTAGTATCCACAAGTACCTACACACACAGGAAATAAAAAGTTACATTACTTAAAACTCTATTCTGCAGACAATTGAGATAAGCACTCTGAATCATAACAACTTGACAGTTGTTAACAGGTTGACACCTCCTGACAGTTTGTTACAACTTGATACAGGTCAACACATCCTGACAGGTTTTGACACCTCTCAACAAGTTGCACGGGTTCAAGTGGATTAGGCATGGTTTATGTACAATATTCTCCTTTGTTAACAATCCCAAGAGCTTCCCCTGAATTCCGCCCCCTCCACACACAAAAGATCATCCGACTCCCAAATTGTCAAGGGACCATATCCACACAGGTACCTCAGCTGTCTAAAGGGGTTCCCCAGGCTATTCAAAACAAACGTACTGAGTTCAGACCTACTTTTATCTAGATTAATCTCCAGACTCTTGACTTCCAGACATTACAGAGTCCAAATCTGATTTGAGTAGAGGTATCTGATAATTTAAATTGCTGGCTGAAAATCCCCCAATCCCCAAATGGAGGACTCTGACAAAAAGTGGCATGGAATGCCTCGACATGCATCTTTTGATATAGGGGGCCAATGCAGCACTTTTCCTTTTGATGTCAAAAATCTCATTTTCCCACATATTTTTCGAACTGAGAGATAGTAAGAACTGCTGATGCTGGAGTCAGAGATAACACACTGAGGAGCACAGCAGACCAGGCAGCATTAGAGGAGCAGGAAAGTTAATGTTTTGGGTCGGGACCCTTCTTTAGAAAAGTCCCAAAGGGTCCCAAAAGGTTCTGAGAAGGGTCCCAACCCGAAATGTCAACTTTCCTGCTCCTCTGATGCTGCCTGGCCTTCTGTTGCCTGGCCTGTTGTGCTCCTCCAGCTCCACACTGTGTTATCTTTTTCTAACTGACTTGTTTTTGTCCACATCATTGAGTGGTTGAGAAGATAGTCCCATGTTGCAGTGATGCTGACTATATCTCATTCCTCCGAATGCATGATTACCTACAGTTCTCCACATTATGATGCACAACATTATTTTGTGGAATTGATAGTCTATGCCATAATTTATAAAGCTCAGAATCCTTTTATTTCTTTTAAACTGACTTTTCAATCTTCCTTATCGGCTTCAACTATTAGTGCTCTTATACCCATTGGTCTCATCAGTGGATCTACCAATTGTTTGCCCATTCCAACAGCCTGTCCCATACCCTCTCAAAGTTTACCATTGTCCACCTCACAGTTCACAATGCTTCAAAGTTTTACAATGTGCAGAGTTTGAAATTGTGCCTTCTACATACTAATGTTGAAATATCTCTGTCCCTTTTATTGCACGGGATTCAAATTAGCTGGCAAACCTATTACATAGCACATGATCTAAAACCTTTCAGAAATCTGCATACCTCAAAGAGATAGGGTTAAGTATGAAGAAATCAACTGCAAATTAGGGCAGACAGTTATTGATTTCATTTGTTAGTCAGTTTGAAATATTTTATCCTGTTTTAAAATATTGTTGAGGATATAAATCTATGAAGTAAATTTGTTCAATTACAAACAGGTAGCTAAGATGAATGAGAATTAGAAATACTCACGAAATAAAATGAAGATGAGAATATAGGTGATTAGTTTTAGAGATAATTTGAGATGTAATGTTATTCATATATGATAGGTAAATGATGGAATACTGTTGGAAATATAAAAGCTATACTGTTTATTTCATTAATTTTGCTTAAATTGTGAACTAAAACCTCTTTTAATAAAGTGAAACAAATGCTAAAAAGGAATGCAATTTTTATTGGTAATTAGAGTAAACTCAATAGCATAGAGAACTATTCGAATTAACAATGAATGCTCTGCTAAAACAAAAAGTAACAGAGAAATGTAATGAAGCACTAGTTTCAAAGGGTTAACAAAGGGTTTCAAACGCTAAACACACTTTTCTCTAAGTTAGTTGGAAGTGTGGATTTTTCCAACCCTCTCTTAGGGTCATTCAAATTAGGTGCTCAATCTTGTTTGGTACAGGGAACGTGGAAATCCTGAGTCCTGGAGAAGTCATATTGGACATGAAACATTAACTTGGATCCTTTACCGCAAGTGCTGAGATTCTACGAAATGTCTGTTTTTATATTCAATGGACGTCTTGTCAATCCGACCAAAGAGATTATGATACTTTCTCACTGTCAGGAACAAATATTGCAGTCTATTACTGTTGCTATCTAGAATCTATACCCCACTGTTGAGGCTGATACATGAAAATATATAAACAAATGAGAGTTCTGTTGGCTCCTTTGGAATGAAAGTATACATGAAATAAGAAAGGGGAAAAACAAAATTCACTGAAAGAAAGCTTAAGGAGGAACTCAGCACTTTTTCACTGCTTAGATAAGTGTATATACTTTCTGAAAAACATTTGTCTGACTGACTGCTATTCAGTACAAAAGCAACTCACACCAGGTTTCGTCATTTCCAGGAAAATAACTCTATTGTAAACAAATTTATTCTTTAATAAATGGCAGAGAAAACAAAAGCTTTACTAATCTACAATAATGCAACTTGAACTACACCCCTTTAAAGCCTTAAATCATATACTCATTCACAAATAAGACAGACAGATGACAAATGGTTCAACACAATATTATGGACGGAAATATATTGACAGGGAAAACAAAATTCTGAAGATCAAAAGTCCGGTCCACAAGTTGGAGAGTTAATTCTCACAGTTCTTTTAATTTTAGCGATGATGGCACACTATTGTCTGCAGAGTGATTGTCACTCTTCTGTTCAACAGTTGTTGTATAGATCTAGGTCTTTTCTTGAGTTAAAATGCTTTTTTGTAAACCTCTGTGTGTGTTTGTCTTTTTCGCTCACACAGAAAGAAAGGAGGGAAATGTTTTATGTTTGCTGGCTCGAGATGTTTCTGGTTGCATTGCTCCCACAACTT